CCCCCCCGGCCCGGGCCCCCCACCCCCCCCCCCCCCCGCCTGTGTTCTGTGTCTGCCCAGGCCTGCCCGCGCAGATCCTCAAGCCCGCGACCTTCACCGACACCACGCACTACCCGCTGCTCCTCCTGGTGGTAGTACCCCCTCCTCCTCCCGGGCGCTCTCTGGGGACTCAGAGCACCGCGGTAAAGATTGACCTCTTAACAGAGGACAGGAGGAAGAAATGCTGCTGCAAAGCAAACGCTCAGGCTAGCCAGCGGCCACTGCCAGCTTCTCTTCGGTGACCACACACGTCAAAGGACCACGGGCTCCGTGCCCCCGGGCAGTGTCGCAGGCAAGCAAGTCTGCAGCCCGTACAGCAGCTGCCAGGTGTCGTCGGGCTCAGACAGTGTGCAAACCTGATGGTGAAGTCGGACCCACCTGGCAGGACTGGTGGGCTCCGAGCCCCCGGGAGGCCTGGCAACGTTCGCACTGCCCATGGCCACCCACTGGCCAGAGGTCGTTTCCACTGCCATGAACCCCGTGCATTTGCCAACAGACTCATTTCAGACAGGCCTGGCTCTGAGCAGCCCCGGTCCAATGCGAGAGCAGCTGTGTGAGCTCTGCCCTCTCCTGCGGGGAGTCTGGTCGGGTCCTGCCTGAGTGCCACGCACCAGGCTGCCCCCGGTGCTGAGGGCGGCAGTGCCCGCTCACCGCAGGGAAGCACTCCCCACGGTCAGCACATCTCTGTACCACCCCCCCCCCCCCAAAAAAAATAAAGAAGAGAGAGCCCTGAGCCTGCCTGTGGGGAGCCAGCGGGCTTGCTTGGGAGGGGTCAGCATGGGGAAGCCCCGGGGAGTCCAGGGACCACAGGGACCACACCTCCCAAATGTCAGGGAGCCCGAGGAGCCGGTCACCTGGCCCGGCTCCTTCCTAGGTCAGGGCGCTCATCCAACGGGAATGAAAGGCGGGGCCAGACGGCTGCCAGCGGGTCCCAACCTGGTTCCCTGTGCACCTGACCCCTTCCTCACTGTCTGCACAGGTCAGCGCTTGGCCATCCTCCACACACCACACACCACACACCACACACCACACACCACACACCACACACCACACACCACACACCACACACCACACACCACACATATACACAGCACACACCGCACAGCACACATGTACATAGACACACATCACACACCACACATATACACAGCACATACCACACATATACACAGCACACATATACACAGCACATAGCACACACCACACACCACACACCACACATATACACAGTACACACCACACATCACACAAGTACATAGACACACAGCACACATATACACTGCACACATGTACATAGACACACCACACATCACATATATACACAGCACACACCACACATATACACAGCACACACCGCACACCACACATATATACAGTACACACTGCACACCACACATATACACAGTACACACCACACATATACACAGCACACACTGCACACCACACATATACACAGTACACAGTACACACCACACATATACACAGTACTACACGCACACCACACATATATACAGTACACACTGCACACCACACATATACACAGTACATAGTACACACCACACATATACACAGTACA